CAGCTGCCCCTGAAGGCCCGCTGGCTGGAAGACAGTGGGGAGGGTTAGCCAAGGCTGTGTTTTACCCACTGGCCTGTCCATAGGCCCACCCCCCACTGGGCCCTTGGTCTCACTGGGGTCACCCCCACGCCACCACACACATAGACAACAGTGTTTCTGGGTTTTCCTGCTAGCCAGCCCTGAACAATCCCTCTAGGATTTGGGAGGCAGACAGACTCTTCTCTCTTTCTTTCTTTCTTTTTTTTTTTTCTTTCTTATTCCCCCTCCCAGAGATTTTTGCTATAGGGCATGTGTGCTCACCAGAGACAGAAAATGAGAAATCACCCCCCAGGGGGAATGGCCACATCACGATCCCTTCTCCTCCATTTTCCTGCAGGGATTTTGGGCACACCTGCACATGCCCGCCTTGAGTTTCAAGGCCCTGGGTCCAGGACTTAAACCATGTCTGTGACATGGGAGTCCAGTGACATAACCACCACGCCACCTGCTGGCCCCAAGACCTTCTCTTTCTAACAAGAAGGAGAATTGTAGCATGGCCGAATCAGAAGGACTCTCGGGACATCTAGATGGTTCTCAGAGTGTGGTCCCTGGGCCGGCAGCAACAGTAACACAAGGGAACTTGTCAGAGATGCAGACTCTCAGCTCTACTTCAGACCTGCTGGTGAGAAATTCACAGGCGGTAGTGGAGTGATGCCAAAGAACCTGAGTCTTAGCAAACTTTGAGACCCACTGGTCTACCCATCACCCTCATTTCAGAGGGTGACAGAGGCCATGAGAGGTTCCACCACTTGGCCGGGGTCACTCAGACCACACCAAGATGCTATTCTTAATTTCAACAGTAGAGAGTTGGATTTTCCAGCTAAGTTGATGGCAATGTGGAAACCGAACCAAGAACGATGGGAAGTGGAGAAGTATGAAGTCAGCTGGTTTGGGAATACACAGAGGGACTGGGGAGGCTTGAAGAGCTCCACGCCACAGCCAGGCTATGGGGTCAGCCCTGCTCCACCACTGTCCATGGGGCAAGACAAATCACTGACCCTTTAGGCCCCTTTCCTCACCTGTGGAGCAGGAAT